CACTAAACAAATGGTTTGTATAAAGTTGAGCACTTTCCCCCTCGATCTCCCACTTTGGATGGGGCGAGGCTGCCAATACAGGCTGGCACTCCATGTATTTTTATGGCTTAATGATTAAAATATCTACAGACACCTCACATCCTGGACATAAATTGTTTCAACTTCTACCCTAAAAATGACGCTATAAGGCAATGGACACCAGAACAATTAGAAACAAGCTTTTCCCCCCGAATGCCATCGCTCTGCTAAACAACTAATTTCCACAACACTGTCAAATTATCTACTAAGACTGAATTACTAATATTATTCTCCTCACTAATAACCATCTCTTCCAACTTATTAATATAACCATGTTGCTTGTATCTTTCAATTTATATTGTATTTATTTATTTCCTAGTACAATTTGATAGCTTATTACTAACCTTGACTATCACTAAGTGTTGTATCTTATAATTCTTGATTAATGTATTCTATTTTCTTTATGTACACTGAGAGCATAGGCATCAAAGACAAATTCGTTGTGTCCAATCACACTTGGCCAATAAAGAATTCTATTCTATTCTATCCTATCCTAATAGAACAATTAATCAGTGGAACAACTTGCCTCCAGAAGTTGTGTACAGGATTCCCTGTCTGAGCATGGGGGTTGGATTAGAAGACCTCCAAGGTCCCTTCCAACTCTGTTGTTCTGAGTTTATTATTGCTACCTCTACTACAAGAATCTAGTCAGCCCAAGATCAAACTAAATTGGTGCTAAGAAAAGGTCAACAGAATGCTTTGTTATTGGAATGCCATCTAGTGGTTATTTTAGAGTTATATTTTTATATATATACACTTGATTAGTTTTCTATATTTTGCTGCTTATATGCCCTTTTTTTTGTTGGAAGCCAGAGTCATTTGGAGTAAGGACACACCCAAATTGATTAAATCAATCAATAAATTTGGCTGATGAACAGGTCTGCTTGTAAGTTGTCCGTGGAGCTTAATCTGCTATTCTATTCAGCACACATTTGCCGTGTGGTATTTTGGCAAGCATTGTTTTTTTGTGAAATCAATTTATACTACAGGTAGAAGATTTCCACGTTCTTCAAAGAAAGTTCCTTGAATCAGAATGAGGGAAAATTAATGTGCGAATTTGGGGGTGATTGAATGACTGAAGGAGAAGATAGAAAAAAAAAACAAAGAAAAACAAGAAGGGTGGCTCAGTGGCTAAGACACTGAGCTTGTCGATCAGAAAGGTTGGCAGTTCGGCGGTTCAAATCCCTAGTGCCGCATAACAGAGTGAGCTCCCATTACTTGTTCCAGCTTCTGCCAACCTAGCAGTTCAAAAGCATGTAAAAATGCAAGTAGAAAAATAGGGACCACCTTTGGTGGGAAGGTAACAGCGTTCCATCTGCCTTCGGCATTTAGTCATGTCAGCCACATGACCACAGAGATATCTTCGGACAGCACTGGTCTTCAGCTTTGAAACAGAGACTCACTCACACACACCGAGTTGGGAATGACTAGCATATATGTGCAAGGGGAATCTTTATCTTTACCTTATATATACACACACGTGTTTGTGTGTGTGTGTGTGTGTGTGTGTGTGTGTGTGTGTGTGTG